ACCTAACTTGAAAACTATTTCCATATAATACAATTACAGTAGAGTAATTTTACACCTGTACCAAATAATATGAGGGTCCAAAATGTGTATAAATAATTGCGTAACATTATAATGTCGTCTACAATTTATTTTATATTACGGAATTTCATCCTAACAAAATTTACGTTAGCAGCCATCGCTCCTGTCAAGCCGGACTTTTATTTTCGGTATAAATTGACTAATGAGTTGTGAAGCTTCAAGTTTTATGGTTGATGGTTTTTCAATAAATTTTATGATAAAAATTTCCTTTTTTCGAGTCTCTACTTTGTTAGAAGTTCTTATAATAAATGAGAATGTCTGGTTTCGATGAAATATTCGCATTTGAATTATCGTTTCAAAGTACCTAACTGGAACTACTAGCCGTAAAAAGTCAGTCGCGGAGAACCTAACGGGTTGACGGGGCTCCGGCTCGAAGCGCAGGAGAAGGAACGGGATGGTTCTTAGTCAGTAAGAATCTGACACTCCCTCCCGCCTCACCCAGGCGGGAGCAGTAATCCGATGATTTTCCCCCCTTAAAAAAAGCCGTAAAAAGTTGAATTAGTTGTGGAAATTTCGGGCCCTACATGAATTTGTATGTCATGTATTCTCATGTAGGCTCCGAAATTTCCACAAGAATGGAGGAAATAGAAAAATTTTTTAAGTTTACAAAGTTACTGCAAAAATCGGCTTTCGAAATAATAACATATCAACTTCAATGCTATATATCAGCTTACGACGTCACAACATTCACTTGTTGTAAACTTGCATGTCATTGGAGCAAAATACATCAATTTGACGTTTCCTTATTGGTCTCCAGTTATTTTACTTAAATTCTTACCATCCTTAACGAATAGCAAAGAAAGGGTCAGTTGGTTTTAAAATTAGGCCACGAGATCAATATTTACGTACCTACATTTTTCTAGAACGAAATGAAAGCCTGGGCATTGACGATCGAAGATTTATTTGGTTTTATCAGCGTTTTATAATTTAAGTTTTTAAACGCCTCTTATTCAGGCGAATCTTAATCTGGGCTCGGATTTAGCAGATATTATCCCCAAATGAGTCGCAAGTTGAGTAAATTGCTATTGCTACACAAATCAAATTAAAAACACTTAACAAAAAGTCTACATTAGTTGCACATAGATTATATACTCAATTGAAAAAAAAAAAGAATTATTAAGTCCGTCCCGAGAATAAAAATATTTCAATTTGAATTTGTCAAAATCTATACTTATAGAGGTATATAAAAATGAATTCCTTTTTCCCTTGGTCACGGCATCACGCGTGAATGGCTGGACCGATTTCAATAATTCTTTTTTTGTTGTATTTGTCAAGAGAAGGTTCTTATGACAGAAAAAATCCTAAAAATCCTACAGGGAACGGGAGAAAATGGGATTGCGCGTACGAAGTCGCGGGCACAAGCTAGTGTTACAATATTTAAAACAACTAAGTAGTTCAGCACATAAATTACGTGTCATCCCATGTTCATATCATGGCAAAACAATACAGGTAAAACTATCAGACACATGGATAACAGGCAGGTGACGCTATTTATAATTATCCTTATTGTCAAATAGAGAGAAATCCGATCTGTATTTCGTGCGAGTGGGAGCCTCTAATGATGTCTTGTTCGGCGGAAAATTAAAAATAACAAAGGCTTTAATAACAGAAGTGCTTCGAGCGTTAAAATCAATGTTGATGATCTTCTCAGAATAACTGGACGCTATTTTTCTCCCTCGTGTTAATTAATTTTACCTGAATGGTTATGTACTGGACTATTTTTATATTTATATTATTAATGTGTAAACAAAGGCAGTGATATTTAGCACGGCCACAATGTTTATAAAGGAAATATGCGTAGAACTCTTGTTTGTTATTTTTAAAGTGGATTGATATTGCTTATGACTTGACACTCGCTAAATACTATGTACCCGGTTTTACCTTTCTACGATCAAAAATAATATATCAATCGCTTAGTATTCAGTAAGAGTTTTAATTAGAGGAATTTTGGTAAATATTTTAATGTGGAGCTAAAGGTAAAATTATGTTAGTGCTTCTGTTCCCTGAAAGGGTAAATAGAGGTTCGCTCTGGTTCGGTCTTCGACTACAGTCGTATTATATTTCAAACCTGTACTTTTTTCTTGATGCTCTTATTTCGAGAGTACTTCACACAACATATCTTATTTTTCTATTCTCTCCTCCACATCATCTTATAACACATCTTATAACTCCTTGTCATTCTGAACACAATCTTTTAATTATTTGGTCGATTTCTACTTTCCCCATTCATACAAACTTTGTCATATGATTTTCATACCTTCTCATTATAGATCCATATCACCTAGGCTATTGTAGTAACTTTCAATTCGAAAGATCAAATACGATCACGGTCCATCATGTCTTTGGTTATGAGAATAGTCTCGACCAATGACGAGCAAGAATGCGATCAAGCTCACATCAAAAGTTCAAATTGACCGTTTCAGAATAGCCCAGCAAAAGAATCAATTATTTATCTTTTAGTTTCTCTATATTCGCTGGCACCACTTGCATACTTACTCTGAGCAATGAATATCATTATCTTTTCTAGTTACGCCACACATTTACATATTTTCTTAAAGTTTTCATCTCCGTTGCACTTTTCTTCCATCCGTCTTTGCCATAACCCAGCTTTCAGTTCTAAATATCTTTATGCTAGGTACTAACACCCGTTTTCTTCTACCTCTCTTATATTTAAAATTTAGTGGTCTAAGCTAAGTTAGGTGACACTTAATGACATTTTGTTTTGACCAACCTATAAGTGACACCTAACAGAACAGCTCTCTTGTTAAGAGATGGTTTAAGAGTGGACAGTGAAAACGATCGTAAAGACTATTTTATTTAATTTAGATTTAAATTATTTTAGAATTTGCGCTATTCTGATTATTCTAAAAGTCAGAAAGCAATACAAAACTTTGTCCTAATAATTGGGTAGCCTGTATCTGTATCAGTTTAATTAGGTTTTCTAACTGCAACTACTCAAAACAGCTGAATGACTGTGCAACTACCTTTCCAGAGATTTAATTTTAACATAACATTCGCCTTTTTTATTCCCGAAGGGAATATTCATTCCCGCATTCGCCGCATGTGTACATTATGCCACTGTACAATGTAACACCCACTTTTCACTATTTATATTATGAGTCCCATGTAATAGGGAGTGAGCCTATTGCCATATACCGGGCACAATTCCAGACTCCGTGCTACTACTGAGAATTTCCCCTTGCCCAGCAGTCGCACTTGCGACCACTCGGCCAACGAGGCAGTCAATTTTAACTTTAAGGCTAATGTACCTAATTTGAATTATATGGTAAACAAAATACGGTAATTAATACCATATACAACATGTGTCTAGATAGCCCTATTATTTGTTGTGGTTGTCACAATTTGTTATATTCATGTATTTATCCTTAATTATGAACATGAAATACATTAGTGCTATAAATAACCATATAATATTATGTTATACAGGTAAACGTGATCGTTTTTTTTTTTGTTATGTCATGATGGGTACCTAATTGGTTTATTCCATTCTGTTTAATTCATTTAGTATTTAATATAGTTTCTTAGTACCACCATAAAGTAAAAGCCAAAAAAATCGCGGGTTACTCACGTGAATACACTGAGTAAAGCTCTACTAGTTTCGAACCACGGAGGGGTTCTTACTTTTGAGCAGCGTGCGAGGTCGCGGCGATGTCTCACAGTTTTAGTTAAATTAGTATGTCTCACGATAGTTATTAAAAAACAAAGTATAAGCCGTTAATAACGCCATTCTATTCTTGAACTGAATAAGAAGAAGTGCTCTATGTATAATACGCAGTTTCTGATAATGAAGTACGGAATAGGAATCGACAAGTTAACATTGCTTTCTCGAGACTTTGTGCACGTAAACCTTAGTTACGACAAGTCGACCTATGCGACCTCATTTCTATATGTTACTCATTTCTATATGTACTATTAGTTAAATAATATCATGTCTTATTTTAATTAACAAGAGAAGCTATTGGTTTGATAAACTTCGCAGTATGCTAATTTTTCCAACGCCTGATAAATTTTAACTGAGGAATAACTTTGAATATTTGACAATTCTTCCATATTTAAAACTGTCAACTGTCAATCTTATTCTAACAGTTAAGAATTAACTGATGATTGAAAAATCGGCCCTTAGTTATAGTACAAAAAAGACTAAACATAATTTTGTGGTTCTATTTTCAAATAACGATGTTTAGACATTAGTATAATTTTATTTTCTGATGAGTCATCGAACAAAAACCGCTCGTGTAATTAAGTAAATTGTTTGTTCTAAATACAAAAAAACAAAAATTGACAACGTCCATAAAATAAATGGCCAGTAATTTTCTACGTTTGTAAATGAGTACAATTATTTTTTATGAAAACGTTTATTACATTTTTATTCATATTACGAACTTTGAAATGTTCTCTTGTTTTTTTTAATTTATTGGGAACCTGAATAAAATTTTAGTTTTAATCTATAACACCACTAACGGTATTATATCGACACAGTAATCTAGTCTACTCTTTATAAAAAAAAAATTCCAAAGGAATACAGTTGCGTAAGCCTTTTGCGTAGTACTTTGTAGAAAGGATGAAAACATACAGCCGAGACGAGATCTTCATCTTAAAGTTAAAACATGTCGATATAAACACCAATTCAAAATATATCAATCCGATCAAAATCGCGAGGACAAAGACAACATCGATAGTTTTCCATTTCCATATTCCCCTTCATATATTTATTTATTTATAGGGTGTCGACACAACAAAGATCCTTTTCTATAATAATACATATTGCGCATAAAGTATTTTGTTCATAAAACTACTTTTTACAAGCGTACATTAAAAAAAACTCGTATCCTGATGAACATACCACAATATACTTAATGCACAATTTTATTATGTAGTCTTAATGATTGTTTTCCACTGACCTGAGTCGACTGGCGCTATGTCGGGACCGTCGTGGGGCGCTAGCATCTTCATTGTGATGGCACCTGGCAGTACGCTACTTGACACCGACACCGTGGCGAATTATTTCACAATTTCAACCGAAAAAACGACGATTAATCGGGAAAATAAGGGAAAATAACCGGAGCCCAACAGGCTGTTTCGACACTGCACTATCGATTGAAGTTCTGAGGGTAGTCGCGCATGCGTGTGGCGCGCGGATTTGGCGCCTGCGTTGTCGCCCCGCGCCGCCATGTTTGCCCGGAAAGACGTCACGTGACAGTTGACAGTTTAAGGCGCGTTTCCGCTGTTAATAATTGACGTGCTATCTAATTTTCCTATGACTAATGTGTTTATCCGCTTTTCTGTATGAGAAATGAATGGATGTATTTCAGAAATTTTTATAGATTGTTCCTTTTGATAATGGGGTCGGTGGTATATTAAGTAAGCTGCTTGAATAGGAATGATGTTTTTTATTTTGCATTGTAAAAATGTTTTAGACACTTATTTGATCTGTTTGTATTTTCACAACTTTTTATTGACAAGCTTCAGAATAAAATAATCTTTTCACAATAATTTGGATAGTATTGTAACAACATTTGATCAGTTTTGATTAAAAACATGAATTTAATGATTTTATTTTAATACCAGGAAAGTTTGTGCTAAATAAATAAATTTAAAAGTAACTGTAATAACTTGTAAACTATTTTACTAAATTAATGAAATTCGTACTCCAGAACTAGTTTATAAAAAATGGGATTCATTAAATTAAAAAAATAACAAAAAAGGGAACTTGTTATAAATTAATTTTATTGAAAATCGTAAATAAATTTACATAATATATTAATAAATATTACATCACGTGTACAAACGTATTTGTTTTCTTGTAAAGTGTGTGTGTGTCGGTGGCAGCGAGCTGCGTGTGTGTACGTGTGTTGTTTGTGTGTGTGTGAATGTGTGGAAGGAGTGGGTGTCTAGTATCCGGCCAGCTCAGCGAAGGTGGAGTCCATCTCGTCGGCCAAGCTCTTGTATCTGTCCTTGTTGATTCCGAGCTCATCTGTTTAACATATGATAATGTTAAATTCTAAATTTATTTGTCTATGAACGTGGGGCCTTATAGAGAACTTTCAAGTCATTTAATTAGTCAGCAATGACCAACTAAAATTTCTTTTGAATGGTCAAAAAGGTAAGAAGTTTTTTAATTTTTAATTGCTGAACTGAATCAAAAGTTCCCGTCAAGCCCCCTACTCGATTTAGGAAAACTAATAAGGGAAGGTTTCCTGAAAATGGAACATCTAAAGTATAATAAAATTCTAAAAATGTCTTTCCGTAAAAAAGGAACAATTTAGGTAATGGGTAGAGATAGTTAAAGAAAATAAGATTAGGATTTATCTATTAATGTAATTAAGTTTGTTACTCTCTTTAGGAATTTCTTTATAACACATTTATGGCGCAAGCGACAGCTTTAAAGATAATTTTATATAGAAATAGAATTAAGAGATTATGAAAGAACCAACATTACCTTGGAAGCAATGGTCCGCGACGGTAGCAGCAAAGCGAAAGACATGTTAGTCACAAACAGACAAAGCAGGGCTTAACACGACGCTCCTACAGGGTCGTGGACATACACTATAATAATATATGATATGTCGACAACCCTGCAGGCGGCGAGCAGGTTAGGCGTTAGAAGAAACAGTTTAAGAGACTGAAATGTATGGAACTCGTTCTGACAGCGATCTACAGTCGGGCTAAACAATGAACTTGTACAGGGTCGAGACAATGCAAGGTGGCGTATCAAAATGGACTTTAAGGTGATGTGATTCGGACGGTTTTGACTTAAACTATGTGCTGTAAGGGCTGGTTAGTATCCTGTCAGCTCGGCGAATGTGCCGTCCAAGTCATCGCATATCGCCTTGTATTTCTCCTTCTCGTTGAATAATGCGTCTGTAAAATTTAGTCATTTGATAACAACTTACGAAACGAACCAACTTTATTCCGCCTCTGGACTTAAAGTTAAAAGAAAAAAATGAGTTTTTATTAGAAAAGTTTTGATTAAAAAGCTTTTGCAACAAGAGAAGCCATAGTATTCTCTTTTTGTTAGAATAGTTATCAAGTTATCATTATAGAAGATTTCGTTACTTGATATTTAGATTTGTTTAGTTGAATCTTTGAAGTCAGAAAGATCTTTCTTAGTTTGTATCTTAGTGATAGATTTAAGTTGATCTTATTGGTTACTAGATTATGTTGGTGTTTGGTTAGAGTCGTACCTTCGAGCCTGTCAACCTCCTTCTGCAGTTTCTTGACAGTCTTCTCTGCGAACTCGGCGCGGGCCTCGGCTTCCTTGAGTTTGCTGGTGAGGGTCTTCAGCTGCTTCTTGAACTCTTCGACACGCTGGTTGGCCTTCTCTTCTGATACTTCCAGAGATTTCAGGGAGTTACCTACGACCTGGATTACAAGTTGGTGTTGTTATTTCTCATGTATTATTTTTTAAGTTCCTTTTGACTGTACGAAGTTCATAATAAAATGAAAATTACCTTTAATTCCTCCTCAAGTTCTGAGATCTTGGCGTCTCCAGACTTGACACGGTCCTCAGCGACTTCGAGCTCGTCTTCAACGAAGGCCAGCTTGCGTGATACCTGAACATCAAAATGTCATCATTTGTAGTTTTCATCGAGACCAACTGTTTGTTTTTAGTGAATAATTGCTTTGGAAAATAGTGAAATTGTTGATGCTGCTGTTGAAGATGTCAATTCTATCTAGTTAATAAGATACGAAATTAAATAAGGTGACAGATAGAGTTTTCGTAAGTATTTGTATGTCTTATGTTTTAGTGACTCCAAATGGCTTAGGATAAGGCTTGGCAGAAATAGTTGTATAAGTTGTGACTCGTATTAATCTCAAGATTCAAGTCTCACCTCGTCGGACTTGCCGTCAGCATCCTCAGCGAGCAGACGGGCTTCCTTCAGCTGGTTGGTGAGCTGGTCCATGCGCTCCTCGTCCTGCTGTGCCCTGTTCTCCAACACTTTGCACATACTGAAAACAAACGAAGCACACATTGAGATACCGTAACCACTCCATTGTTATCCAAATCACAAACTAATTTCTGTAGTTAATCATCAAATATTTGAATAATTAATAAGATAAGTCGTGTTGCCACGGACTAACTGATTGCAATGGGTCCTGTTATACTCAATTCGTCAGCTGTCTGCTTACCCTCTTGGGAATAAAAGGCATGTGATAAATCGTAAATTAGAACATTAAGTAACGAAAGTAAATAGACACGACCTCTACCGGCTCCTTCAAGGAAACACTAGAACGTGATGTGTTCATGTTTACATAACTCAGATAAATGTAAACATTTCTTATATTTTTCACGAACTTTAAATATTTCATGAACTAATCTGAAATTCAGAGCTTGTATCTAATTATAGCGTGGCACGTTACCCAACTGTTGCGTTCTTGATAAATCATACACAGACGGCGAAATTACGACTTACAATAATGTTTCAGAAATACTTTCAGATTTCATGGTCGTAGTAATAAGTCAAAAGGAAAAAGTTGGTGTTGCTAGAATTATTCAAATTGTTTATTATAAGTTATAAATTTCTTTTACACCTTTGCATACACTCCTGGTGATTTCCCTAGTGAGTTCCTACACGTGATTTAAGTTAATATACATACATATTATTATGTAAAGTACTATGTTCCAAGTTTCACTGAACACGATATTCAAGTTCAATTTCTTAAGTAATACGTAAGAAAAGGTTTTATTAAGAGCGTTTTATTTCATGTCAACAGAATACATATCCATTCGTTGTATGAGACGCTAGACTACGGAAAAGACCGCGTCTTTTTGATTCTGATTTTAACTAGCAAAATGACTAGGTCATTAGATCAGAGTCACATACAACAACGTCTACAGGCAACTCATGGGACTACCAAGAGGTTGCAGTGCTTCGGGGATGTTTTTTGATGCTCGTATTGACACCTTTAATGCCATACAGCGCAAAAGGATAGCCTCCTTTATATCCAGAGTTGGCATGTGTAAGAATGGTATTGTTACGAGTTTGGCTGACCGCCTGCATTTGACTGCAACGTACAGACGATGGTTGGCTATGGTCACCTAATTTGCATATTTTTTTTTTTTTTCCTCCTATTATTATGTTATTAATTAGTTTATTTACATATACCTACAATTATCAATTTTTTTTTTTTTTTTTGTTATATTTTATAATTATATTTGTATTTATAAATATTGTGCATGTAACTATGGATCTTAGAGTCTGAAATAAAGAGTTATTATTATTATTATTATTATTATTAGTGCATTTGTCATAAGTTTAAGTGATGACTAAGGGCAATAGGCTCAACCGATCCTACATTGGACTTACAAACTAGTAAATGATGGGAGTTACACTTAAGACTTTGACTGCCAATAAAAAACCGTTAAAGGTAAATCCTCCGCTAACGCCGATCACCGGTAACCATGGTGTTTAACGTGTTAAATATCCTTGCTATAATAGATAGTAGTGGTGTAAGCTTCACATAATCTTACCGGTTGTTCTCGTCAGCAGACTGCTGGGCTTCGAGCAGCTTCTGCTGGGCGGTGCCTGACCTCTCCTCGGACTTCTCGAGGTCCTCCTCAATCTGCTGCACCTTCCTGTTAAGGGCAGCGACCTCAGCCTCAGTGGCGGTTAAGGTCTTCTCCTTCTCTTCCAAGTCCTTGTTGGCCTGTTCCAACTTGTTCTTGTTGAGGATCAGGTCCTCCTCCACCTGGGCGAGCTTCTTCTGGAGCTCACGGACTTCCTCGTTGACCTGGAAGGGGGAGGCATTTTTTGGTTAAGTACCAGTCAGATGAGAAGTCCAAAGAATATTTTTCAGTATTTTTTTATGGGAATATAAGACCACCTCTTTGTCTAGAGTATAGCAACAGAAAAACAGGACAATCTTTTTGAGCGAGGTAAGTATAGTATTTATCGATACGAAATTCCTTAACTTTGGTTGAGTGTTGAGTTAGCGTAGTCCTAATCCCAAAA